ATTGTACCTTAGCTCACATTGTCGGTGACAATATACGAATACTTTTGAAAATGAGGTTAGCCATTGAATCAAACCCTCGCATCCTCTTCAAATCTGACATAGTCAAGCATAATAAGATCTGGAGCTTAAACCATGTTGCCTGAAATAGTAATATTAGATTCTTATTTGAGTATCCATTGCAGCTATATTCGTTAAAATTTGACCATGATCTTTTGTGTCATCCCGATTAGGAAATCCCAAAGTTTAATCAAAACCACCACCAATACCATCATCAACCCCAAAACCAAGATCCCATTGTAACAAATAAAATGTATCCTCAAGTTGAAATTGTGTATAAATAAGCCCGAAGTCCATTTGTAAATCTTGTTAATCATTAATTTAGTTCATCATCAAACAACTATAATTTCAACAATGCAACCATCAACTATCACTTCATCTGCTGCTCCAAAAGAAAACACTGACAACCAAGACCAATTTGTCTGGGGTGGTACTGGTCCAGGTGCTATCTGGTTCACTTGTACTATTGCTTAAGCTGATAGTGTTTTACTCAACCTCAATATCAACACAACAATTCCATTTTTCTTCCTTCTGACATGGTGTTCTTTTTCTATATGCAACTGAAAATTTCATTTAGCTTTCAATAGATGCTTTGGAGCTCAATTTGAGCTATTTTAATGTTGTTACAACCTGAATTTTTCGTGTTTGGTCAATGTTTATAATTTAATTTGATTTATTTCCATCTCTTTCAAATTTCAACGTAGTGACAACTCAGCAATAAGAAGTTAACAAATCATAGCGCATAGAACATTCCATTTTCCAGGCCGCTCTTTTAACTGAACCTCGAAATTAGTGATTGTTTCGATTGGCTTTACCTGCGGTTAACAAGCTAATTTGTGACACCATCATTAACATGAATTCCAAAAAAGCGCATAGCATTCAATAGCCCAGTGATCTTTAGGTCTTCCCACCTCAAACAAGCACAGTAACATGGCCCATAGATATTCTTTGCCTCAAGTTGATCAGCTAACTCGAGTATACTAAATACGTTGAATTTGTTAATTCGTGAACCAAAGAAATAAAAACTGAACATTCGCGAAAATAATAGCATACAAAACATATTTCCGCATACACTGTTGAGCTTTATAGACGTTACTTTGATCAACCGTAATGAATGCTAAATCTATCGTGTAGGTAGTACTTTCAGCTGTGAATTTTGATTAGGCAATTAAAACTACCTGATCGGTGCTGCTGGAGTAAAAGCATTGAGTGAACTAATAGTTAGCTATTTGACTTTGAAAGTACAGGTGCAACAACAAAGTAAAAGTTTAGAAATCCTTACGGAATGAATAACGAATTTATTTGACTTTAATTAATATAATTAGTGGAGGAAATAATAAAAATAAAACGGAACCTGTTCCTGTAAAAAATTGAATAAACAACACATGGTGAGAAGAGCATTGAAAAGCAGTTTGTGATCTACTTTTTTGATCCATATCTAACAGAGTACATTAACGATTTTTCAATCTTTCCATAGATCCAGGCATTGGAACAGCTTTTGCGATAATGTATGAGTTTTCTCTATTAGCAATACCAGCAAAGGCATTATACCAAGCAATAAAAGCTGTGATAACACCAAAGACACCACCAGCTCTTGTGACACCAACTTTTCCTGAAAATTCTCCGATAGTTAACAACAAGAATGTAATCTCCAAGAAGAAGAATAACGAAAAGAATGCCACAGTAGATTTCAACGTACAAAGCAAGATACCAAACGTGAAAATTACCCATCCTAATAAGAAGAAGGCCACGGCATTTGCCAGTTCTTGTTTGTCTTCATAAGCTTCTCCTATACCAAACCATTTAATATTAATAGCAGCATAACTTAACCAAAAACCACCATAAGAACTCAAAGCAGTACCACCAAAGGTATTTTCTAAAGCAATTTCCCACATACCAGCTAAGAGTTGAACTAAACCACCATACCAAAATGCAGAAGCAACAACGACATTTGGGGTTGTGATACCCATAGCACGGGCATTATACATTGATAGCATGAATGTTGTCAAGGCAAACCCGCAAAGTCCTAGAGGGGCAGGATTGGCAAATTTATGAATTGATGGAGCAGCTAAACCTGGTTGTAAAGTACCACCGAAAGCTGAAACTAATTCAGATTTTAAAACTTTTGTATTACCAATGAAGATGTACTCATTATTTTCACCACCGTGTGAGATTTTGGAAACTTCTGGTTCAGCATCATTGAAACCTGGATTATTCCCAGCATATGTTGGTGTATTACTATCTCTGTGTATTGGTGGAGTTGCTTGTTTTTCGATATCTGACATCTTTGAAAATTTATCAATTGTAGTTGAAATTGATCAATTGACAGGAGGAATATGTAAATCAATTAAATTTCAAGCTTTGGGAATTGAGTTCCTTTTATATATATCGTTAGTTAACCATTACCTAACAAAAATGTATATGTGGGGCTCAACAAGAAGGTTGTTTTGGCTTTCAGACCGAACCAAACCATCGAAAGATCGTGGAACCATAAACAATGTAGTGTGCGAATCCAATGTCAAATGATTTAAACTCTGAATTACTGATCATTTCAAATATGACTCAATTAAGTCCTCCTCATTTCAACATTTCAACAGTACTATCGTTAAATTGGATTGGATAAAACACATTTCCTTTCATAGTGAAAAACCCAACACACCGCCGAAATCATGAAGGTGAACGGTAACAAACAATTGGTTTCGGACCCTTGGGGGTATTTGGTCGGACCGTTTCTTCAATTGGGAATTCGTCATGTATGCTCTGTGTTTCAGGCTGTTCTTTGCTGGTTATGAATAAGCTCATCGACGTCGAACCTTGTCATCGAAGTCATCTGCTTTTCTTGTGGAGACTGTGACACGGCATCAGTTGACAGACGATCCAGCATAAACGACAGGCATAACATCTGCTACATGTGATCAGAATCATAACTTGATTACGTATAAATTCTGTTTATTCCTAATATCTATATCTAAGCTCACTAGCTATTGATATTTTATGTGTATCTAGGCACTTTTAAATTCAGGTACCAGTTCTGCCGAGTGTTCGCTAAACAAATGTCTTGTCATTGACTGCTTTTTGTCACAAAGTGTGCGAAATGTACAGACAACAGCAGTAATAATAGTACTAGTGAGTCGTGACTAGAGCTGAGCATATAGCCTATAGAAACAATTAAGGTCTATTGTTCAAAATACACGGGCTCCTGAATTTCAAGTTTCAACAGTGTACAAAGTACTCAACATTTTGTCAACGCATGTTGCCTGCCTCAAACCTTTGAGTTTTGAACTTTCGCCTGGAACTATACAATTGTATTCTCTTTCAAAGTACACTACAAAAAGATTGTGATTAGGTAGCTGTGATTCATCAGTATAGATGGACATTTAATTGAGGAGGACAGGGCCTTTTGGAAGCTGATTTCCTTTTCGCGAATTGGGATTTCTGGATGGCGCAACACATCTATGGTATTGTCACGTACGCTGATGTCAGGCGAGGAACTATTGCACTTATATCAGTTTTGCCAGCTACGTCGTTACAATATTGTTCTATATTGCAGTTCCATAGTTTTAATAATTTTTAGATGATTCATATACACATAATATCAAGAATAGTCACAGCGCTTCAGCCATTGATATCTTAGCTGTCAGGCATAGACGTTTTAATTGAGGTATATCATGATCTACTGGTGATAGAGTTACTGCTGAAATGTTCGCCTGCACTATATGGACATGCACAGATCAACATACTCATAATTCCTTTAGAAGCTAAAGTGGATCCCTTACCATATTATGAGAGCCGTCTATACCTAGGCTAAGAATATGAGTACTCAATCCTTTAAGTAGCTGTTCAAAACATTTCGCCACCATCATGAGAACCTCTTATATCTAGATCAAATTGAGTATTGAAAGCAGTCTCAAAGCACTTCGCTGATAAAGTCTAGCTAGTTCTATTACCAGCTTTGACTCTTTCATAAATATCCTATATCTCCAAAAAAACTACAGATCTTTTGTGCCATCCCAATTAGGAAATTTCAGTTCTGTATTAAAACCACCATCAATCTTCAAAACCATCGTCAACCTCAAAACCATGGACAATTGTAACAAATAAACTATACCCTCAAGTTGAAAATGAATATAAAAAGGAACGAGTCTTCTAGAGAAAGCAGAAATAATTCTTTCTTGTAAATCATCAAACAATAACAATCATTTTAACAATGCAACCATCAACTATTACTTCATCTGCTGCTCCAAAAGAAAACACTGACAACCAAGATCAATTTGTCTGGGGTGGTACTGGTCCAGGTGCTATTTGGTTCACTTGTACCATTGCTTAACTCAACTATACTGGTCATGATTAACAAACATCAACAATTTTTTCCTTTTCTATTTCTATTTCCCGTTCTTTATGTTCAGCTCAAAGTGGTTTATTATAGGCTTTTCAATTCATACTGGCTCATTTCAATAAATATCTCTTCACTATTTAATATTTAATAACACAGATATTGATATCAATAACTTCTAACAGTGTAGAATATAATTACTCAAGATGATCACACATGAAAAGACATTGAGTGTTGAGTTAATTCATATTCCAACGTATAATTGTCATCTCAAAAAAATTCAATACGTCTAGGGTTCTAAAGAGTTCAACTGACCTAATTGAAAGTGTTCCTGCAATTTCACTAGTCAGCAACAAGAGCTACGATCCATGTACCACTTAAAGATACAGCTGGCATTCAGCAGAAACTAAGCGCATCTTAGCGTACTCAACTAATAAGGATGAACATGAATCAATGGGGCACAACCTGTAGAACGAATCTTAGAAATGACCAGAAATCAGCAAGATCGTAAAATTGGCAGCATTAACAAGAACCATCTACCCAAAAGTGATAAAACAATTGTTTCACATGTATAGAGGCTTCCCTTTCTGGATAGTTTCAAGATCTGTAAATTTCTGTTTTTCTCGTGAAATTTTCTTCTATGCATGAGCGACCATTTGTGTCAACCCGATTAGGAAATGACAGATTCAAATCGAAACCACAATCAAAAGATTTAATAAGACCTATAACCCCAAAACCAAGATCTCATTGTAGCAAATAAAAAGTATCCTCAAGTTGGAAATGTGTATAAATAAGCCCGAAGTCCATCTGTAAATCATGTTAATCCTTAATTTAGTTTATCATCAAACAACAATACTTTCAACAATGCAACCATCAACTATTACTTCATCTGCTGCTCCAAAAGAAAACACTGATAACCAAGATCAATTTGTCTGGGGTGGTACCGGTCCAGGTGCTATTTGGTTCACTTGTACCATTGCTTAAGCTGAAGCTCAATTAACTATCCAAACAATTTTTATTCTTTCTTGCTCGTTATATTTGTTCCTGAAAATGGTATTGGTTCTTGAAGATACTTAGTCAAATTTGCTGTTGCTGCAGTTTTCCTTCAACAATATTGCTGTTATTGAAAAACCTTTCATCATTTCCTATATTTAATCTTTAATACTATAATTCCTTTGGGATCTTGAGCTTTTGAACGTAGTCTAATAAAACCTTTATCTTGTTCCATCTATGCCATCAGTTGAAACTATCATAAAGTTTGTGTTCCTCAGCTTTTAGAATGATATTTAACTCGTATGCAAATAATTAATCAGCCAAGAAGAAACCCGAATTATCATTTGCTGTGAGTCATGAATTGTTTTTGAGAAATTAATAATGAATTCTCAAAGCGTTGAAAATAATATTGGCCACGATCAACCCTTTGATCAGAATCGACATTGTACCTTAGCTCACATTGTCGGTGACAATATACGAATACTTTTGAAAATGAGGTTAGCCATTGAATCAAACCCTCGCATCCTCTTCAAATCTGACATAGTCAAGCATAATAAGATCTGGAGCTTAAACCATGTTGCCTGAAATAGTAATATTAGATTCTTATTTGAGTATCCATTGCAGCTATATTCGTTAAAATTTGACCATGATCTTTTGTGTCATCCCGATTAGGAAATCCCAAAGTTTAATCAAAACCACCACCAATACCATCATCAACCCCAAAACCAAGATCCCATTGTAACAAATAAAATGTATCCTCAAGTTGAAATTGTGTATAAATAAGCCCGAAGTCCATTTGTAAATCTTGTTAATCATTAATTTAGTTCATCATCAAACAACTATAATTTCAACAATGCAACCATCAACTATCACTTCATCTGCTGCTCCAAAAGAAAACACTGACAACCAAGA